ATATAATTACAAAATAAACTACAAAAAAGGAAAAGAAAATCATGTCGCTGACGCCTTAAGTCGCATTGAAATTAATCATAATTCCGATGCTCTCGCTCCCAACACGTCCGAAAATCCTATGGAAATTGATGCTCGTACTACAGACACACAACATTCTTCACCTTAGTCTCATCCCAATACAAGTTTTATTTCAGAAGACAAAAACTTCTACGCTTAACCTAAGCGAATAGAATTTATCTTAGGTTTCCGTAATAGTTTCAGATATCTTGACGAAGAACGATTCGAAGTTAATATCACTCATCCCAATCAAGAATCCTTTATTATCGATTTTATTAAATCCAAATATAAACCCACATTCCGATATGGAATCTGGTATCAGGAACCATTCTTCTTGTCCCTACTTAGTCGAATTCTAAAGAATAATTTTTCTACAGCCCAGATTAAATTCGAGAAAGCCGCATTCAAACCTGAATACATTTCTAAAAACGATTACGTCGACAAAGTTTCTCTTTATCATTCTCAAAATCATAATGGTATAAATGAAACATACCAGCATTTCCGAAAACTCATTTACACTCCCAAGAGTAAAAATATTATTCAAAATATTATTAATAAATGCGAAACCTGCCTTCGAAATAAATACGAAAGACATCCTATTACTCAGCCCATTCAAGGCCCATTTTTCAGTATTGCTCCATTTCAACTTGTATTCATTGATGTTTTCACTGTCGAAAAAACTAAATACCTAACCTTCTTTGATCACTTTAAAAAATATGCTCAAGCCTATTACTTACCTTCAAAAAATCATGTTAATGTCCTTAATAAAATGAAACATTACTTTTCCCAACATGGATTTCCTAAAGTTATTCATGCCGACCCTGGCGAATTACGCTCCAATATCATTAAAGAATATTGCCAAAATCATAATGTTGAACTTCACATCGGAAGCACTGCAAATCCCATTAGCATTTCTCCCATTGAACGTTTTCACTCCACCTTAGGTGAAAAATTCAGATCCTTAAGATTAGAACGTCCCACTGACCCAGTAAACGACATTAATTTAGATTCTATATTGATCTATAATCAATCTATTCATTCCCAAACAAAATTGACCCCTTTCGGCTTGTTATATGGTCACCGTGAACCTCTTCAGACTTATGAAGAATTTCAAAAACAACAATCCGAAAGACGAAAATGACAAAATTTACAATAAGACTTTGCAAACAACTGTTAAGCGCAACGAGAGCTCCAAACCTTACAAAATCCCTGTATTAAAAGGCCCTATTCACATGACCCCCCTTACCGGTACTAGACGTCCAAAGAATTTACCCAAATATCAAAAGCACGAAACCTACGAACAAAATGGAACCCAAATTCAGATAAAAGATCGGAAACATATGATTAAAAAGATTAAACCACCTCGCATTGTTTCAGATGTGTGACGACCACCATAGCTGTCCACATAGCCTCGGAACATTATTTGCAACCCATACAACAGATACGTTCAGGCAATGCAAGAAATATTCATCACTATCACAACGTCTATTTCTCCATTTACCTCACTGATATTTCACATACCATGCAAATGTTTTCTGACCTAATTGAATTACATAATAAAATTCCCACCAGCTTAGATAATCAGATTCAAAATTTATACGAAGACACCTATTCCAAGTTCGAAACTCTAATACAGCATAGAATCAAACGCGGACTTATAAACGGTCTAGGTTCTATAATTCGTTTTATTTCTGGCAACCTTGATCAAAACGATTTAGATCTTATTTTGAAAAATCAGAACGCTTTACGAAATAACCAGAATAGCTTGCTTGAAAGTCATCAGAAAACTATCACGTTTTGCAAATCTCTTCAGGAAACTTTTGAAAATAATACAAGAAGAATTCAGTCAATTATTATTCATAATGTCCAAACTATTGAACATCAGTCTTTGTTATCACACCAGACGATCCATCAGATCTCAATTATTACAAATTTGCAACGATTTAATTCATATCTAAATTCACTTTTATTGGTTCTACAATTGAACCAGCAAACAGGTATCAACACCTTACAATTATCTCATCATCAGATTACCTTACTTATTGAACATTTAAAATCCATTTATAAAGACTTATTGCCATTCGACAAAATACATTTATTTGAGATTTTTGATCTTTCCCTTTTATCACTTATACTTTTAGAAAACCAACTTATTTTTGTAGTTGAGTTTCCCATTTTAGATGTTAGAACTTATTCCTTATTCAAGTTATTTTCAATCACAGTCAAAAAAGAATTAGTAAAATTACCAAGTGATTATATTTTATTCTTTGAAAAGTATTATTATTGCAAAAATATTATAGAGTTAAGCAATCAGCTGCATGTTTGCACGAATACTTTCCAGTCGCCATGTCAACCACTTAAGTTAGACACTTGTGAGTCTGAAAGTCTAGTAAACTACACGCGAATCCTTGAATTAAGTAAGAACAATTATGTAATCGACACTAATGTTTTAACAAAAATCAAGGATTGTAAAGGAATCCATCATATTCATTTTACTACTCACATAATTTTAGAATGTCATACATTTATTAATGATCAAATATTAGAATTTGACTCTAATTATGAAATTGAATTAGAATTATCCTTCAGAGGTGACAACGATAAATATTCATTTAAGAAAACAAACACTTCACTCGAATCTTATTTCGAATAAAATCTCACTTCACTTCAAGTTCATTTTGAAGATTTACAGTTTCATTCAACTATAAGTTATCCTGTTATTTTTACTACTGTAATTATTTTATTGGTTTTATTTATAACAATTTTTGTTAGATACCGTTATGTAAAGGATACTAAAACTTCATCTCAAAGTAGTGATATTTAAGAAACTTCTCCTTCAAATTAAAAGTTCAAATCATTTTGGAGATTGGAGACCAATCCTGATGATTACCATTTCAACGGTACGGCTAACGCCGTCCCGATGCCCTTGTGATTAGCGCCGTCCATCCGGTTTCTAGTTACAGCGTTAAGCGGCATTTACATTTACGAGTACTCGGATCCGAGCAACTCGGATAAACACTACGAGTAGAATTGTGAATGTTTAGATTTGTGTGAGCAGCTCGTATAGTTTGGAAATTTTAAAAATGGCTCCCTCCAAGAATAAACGAGCTGCTGTCGCGTTAATATTATTAAATGTTCTAAAAAAAAGAGGTGAAAAGAAAAAGGTTACACAGAATAGAAGCATCTGGGTGAAACCACATTTACAAGAGCGTCACACAGTGGGTATTGAGCAAACTTTGCTCACTGATTTACTAGCACAAGACGGAAACGATTTTAAAAACTTTATGCGCATGGATTATGACACGTTTGTGATGTTACATGACAAGGTAAGTTTAGTACTTTGTTATAAAATAGCTTTTCATGATTATTTTAAAATTAATTTTAAGGTTCGTTTAGACATCGAAAAACAAGATACTTACCTGCGAAGTTCTATAAGTTCTGAGTTACGTCTTGCAATAACATTAAGAATCCTTGCAACTGGAGATAGCTAGAGGTCCTTAGAATACTTGACAAGAGTATCAGCTTCTACAATTAGTTTACTTGTCCCTCATGTATGTCAAGCTGTCTACTCACACTTGCAGCCAGAATATATGTACAAAATTAAATTCTTATAATAATATTTAAAAACTTCTTTTGTTAGTAGTAATTTTATTAAGGTTTCTAAAAAAATATTAAATATCTGTGTCTTCACTAGACTGGTCAATAATCCCACGCATTGCTAGAAAAATGGTATTTGAATCATTAGTTCTTTTATTTATGTTAGAACATTCACTGTATGATTCTGAGTGATAAGAATTAACAGAAGATGGTGTGGGAATATTATAGTCATCTGGGGAAAATGGAGATGTCATACATGCAGTTAATCCTGGGTTGCAAGTATTTATCGAAACTGGAGAAGTTTTATGGCGGTTAATTACTCGTAATCTGGTTTGCGTTATAAGTTGCTGAATTTCTAATTGCAGTTTTACTGCATCTTCCAAAGAAAATTGTTTTAGCTGCGCTGCTATGGTCTCCCCAAACTTGTCAAATTCTGTTGATTCCTCCTTACATATCGCGCTCAAACTACTCAATCTGTTTCGTGTCTACGAACTTTTTTGTTGCGAGGAGGATTAGTACTGCGTGACGTTCCTTGTGTAATAGGTGTAATAGTATTATCACATTCTTTATTTGTTGATTTTTTGACCTGCAAGTTAAAAAAGAATATTTTTTAGGTACCTTGCACTGAAGATGACTGGAAAAAAATTGCCGACGAATTTAGAAACAAATGGAACTTTCCCAACGCTATTGGTGCTATAGACGGAAAACATATTGAAATAGAAGCTCCCCCAAACGCAGGATCTTATTACTTTAATTATAAAGGCATACATAGTATCGTCCTTTTAGCTTTGGTAGATGCAGAATGTAATTTTTTATATATAGATGTTGGGTGCAATGGGCGCATGTCGGATGGAGGTACATTCAAAAATTCTACCTTATATAGAGAACTATATGAAGACCTGTTAAATATACCATATGATGAGCACCTTCCAAATCGCGTCAAACCCGTACCTTATGTTATTTTAGGAGACGACGCGTTTGCTCTTTCAAAAAATTTGCTAAAACCGTTTCCTAGGAGCAAGTTTCTTAGTGCAAAACAAAAAGTTTTTAATTATCGACTTTGTCGTGCTCGTCGAGTAGTGGAAAACGCATTCGGAATCTTAGCATCACGCTTTCGCGTATTTAGGAAACCAATTTGTTTAAAAGTCGAAAATATTGACAAAATTGTCTTATGTGCATGTGTCTTGCATAATTTTAAAAAAAAAACATTGTAAAATTACGGCAATCAATACTGAAAATGAGGATATTAGGTCAATAATGAAGAGTATACCCCATCAAGGAAGTAACAATACAAGTGACGTAGCACGCTCCGTTCGCGATGAATTTGCAGAGTATTTTTATAATGAGGGACAGACTGATTTTCAGTGGAAATACATTTAGGAATATGTTAACTTTATATAGAATATTATTCCATTTTCACTAATATACTACTGAAAATTCAAAGAATCAGTTGTTTTAATACTTACATATTGTTTTGTAGTTGGAGTACACACTGTTTTCCTTGATGTTGTAACGTCATCCAATACTACTAAACCAAAATAAGCTTGGAATATAAATATCCTCTGCGCCCGACCCTATAAACAAAATATCTTTTTAATATACAGTGATATAATATATATATACAATGATATAAACATAACCTATGTTTAAAACCTTTAAATTAATTAAAATCACGAAAACTGTATAATAGTACTGAACTACAATATTATTTTTACATACCTGTACTTTTTGATAACTCAACTTTTTTCTTTTCCTGCAAATACGTCGATCGAATGTTGTTTATTTTCTTCTTCACGTTTTCTATTGAAATATTCATAATATCGGCAATAGCTTCATACGCGTTGTTCCTTTTGTTGATGTCTCTATAATCTGTACATTTAATGTTCCATAAACACTCAAATGATCTATAAAGATCAAGAAATTGTTCCATTTGCTCGCTGGAAAACTTTAGTTCCGCCATTTTATATTATCGAGAAACAGGTGCTCTCGTACAACAAGTCGGATTGTATTCTACTTCGATCCGGGCTCGGATCGAAGTCGCTACGAGCTCCGAGTAACCGTTTACATTTCCGAAATTTAGTCCGAGAAGCGAAACTCGGATCCGAGTACTCGTAAATGTGAATGCCGCTTTAGGTGTTATCTTTGTGAGAACATCCGTGACTTTGCATTTTGCTATATTTTACTTCTTATAAACTGAATATGAAATGTAACTAGCGTTGCTGTCATCCTGTTTTCATCCAATAAAGTTCCTGCTATAGTTTCGAACCGAAACCACACTGAGTTTCATTTCTTGTATCACCATCTTACACTCGTATGAATCACTTTTCCAAAACAAACTAATCCAGCAATTTGGGAAATATGTTGAGTCTATCAGTATCAGTATCAGTATCAGCATCAGAATCAGTATCAGTATCAGTAACAGTATCAGTATCAGTATCAGTATCAGTATCAGTATCATTATCAGTATCAGTATCAGTATCAGTATCAGTATCAGTATCAGTATCAGTATCAGTGTCAGTGTCAGTGTCAGTGTCAGTGTCAGTGTCAGTATCAGTATCAGTATCAGTATCGGAATCAGTATCAGAATCAGAATCAGAATCAGAGTCAGTGTCAGTGTCAGTATCAGTATATCAGTATCGGTATCAGTATCGGTATCAGTATCGGTATCAGTATCGGTATCAGTATCAGTATCGGTATCAGTATCGGTATCAGTATCGGTATCAGTATCGGTATCAGTATCGGTATCAGTATCGGTATCAGTATCGGTATCAGTATCAGTATCGGTATCGGTATTAGTATCGGTATCAGAATCGGTATCGGTATCGGTATCGGTATCAGTATCGGTATCAGTATCGGTATCGGTATCGGTATAGGTATCGGTATCGGTATCGGTATCGGTATAGGTATCGGTATCGGTATCAGTATCGGTATCAGTATCGGTATCAGTATCGGTATCAGTATCGGTATCAGTATGGGTATCAGTATAGGTATCAGTATCGGTATCAGTATCTGTATCAGTATCAGTGTACCGCAGGGCTCAGTCTTGGGCCCTACTCTATGGAATTTGGTCTACGATGGGGTACTGAGGAGTAAATGGCCACATGGTGTAAAAGCCGCTGCGTTCGCGGACGACTTGGCAGTTATAGTACTAGCGCAGGATGAGGAGGCCCTTATGGATGCGGCAAATTTAGCCCTGAGGATAGTGGACAACTGGATGACGGCCCATCACCTCGAACTCGCACCGCAGAAGACAGAAGCTGTCATCATAAAGGGGAAGCGGAGCAAAGCTGGAATTACTTTTAACTGCAGGGGAACTTCCGTAACACCAAAGAAGTCTGTTAAGTACCTAGGAATTCACTTAGAAGGAGGAGGCCTTTTTCGGGAGCATATTCGGGCAACGGCAGCAAAAGCAGACAAAAAAGCAGCATCGTTAGCAAGAATTATGCCAAACATCGGCGGACCTACCAGCAACTAGAGGGAGGTTATAAATGGAGTAGTGCTTTCCACATTACTTTACGATGCCCCAATCTGGCACGACATAATGAGCACTACTAGATACAGGCACATGTTCATCGGAATGCAAAGGAAGATGCTGCTGAGGGTGGCGAGTGCTTACAAGACCGTCTCCACAAAGGCCTTACAGATTATTACAGGGATAGCACCGATCCACTTGCTTGTGGAAGAAAGAGTGAGGTTGCATCGCCGGGAAGATGGGAGAACCCCGAGGGCCAGAAGGGAGGAGCGCGAGGTCACCATCAGTAAATGGCAGGACGAGTGGCACTTAACGGAGGACGTGGCTCAGTGGACAAAAAAATCCTGACATCGGGAAAGTGGGTTGCTTGCAAGCACAGGCGACTGGATTACCACTTAACGCAGGCACTAACGCAGCATGGTACTTTTCGAGTATTCACGAAGGGAATACAGAAATCAGACAGCGATGAATGCATGTACTGTCAAAAAAAAGACACAGTTGCACATACTCTCTTCGAGTGCAACAGATGGGAGCAACAAAGGGCACAAGTCGTTGTTAGCCTAGGACACGATCTGACGGAGAGTAATCTGACCAGCACCATGATGGCGAACAACCAATCGTGGATACAAATACAAAGATCAGGGAAATACTATCCATTAAAGGCAAGGATGAAAGAAGAACGGACAGCCCAAACTCCTAGGACATATATATGGAAATTTTACTGCAGAAACCGCTGAGGAAACGAAAACATGTGTGAGACACAGTCATGCTGGTAGTAAACGCAGGCGAATCCCAGCATTAGGGTGGGGGAGGGGGTTTTAGCCCAGGTGGCATAACCTGAATGCGGATACTAGATATCCGGTCTCAGGTGTCTCTTGGTGATTTCCCCCCAAGAAAAAAAAAAGTATCAGTATCAGTATCAGTATCAGTATCAGTATCAGTATCAGAATCAGAATCAGTATCAGAATCAGAATCAGAATCACAATCAGAATCAGAGTCAGTGTCAGTGTCAGTGTCAGTATCAGTATATCAGTATCGGTATCAGTATCGGTATCGGTATCAGTATCGGTATCAGTATCGGTATCAGTATCGGTATCAGTATCGGTATCAGTATCGGTATCAGTATCGGTATCAGTATCGGTATCAGTATCGGTATCAGTATCGGTATCAGTATCGGTATCAGTATCGGTATCAGTATCGGTATCAGTATCGGTATCAGTATCGGTATCAGTATCGGTATCGGTATCTTTATTAGTATCAGTATCAGTATCAGTATCAGTGGGCAAACGGTTGGTCACTGGGTCCAGGGGGTGTGAGGTGTTGGTACTCCACTCCAATAAAACCCTTGTGAATCGCCCACAGTCTACAAAAGATAAGAACCAACAAGTCCTATATCCCACCTTCGTCGAACTTGACCCTGAGTTCGGCAGGTGTCCGCCGAAGGTATGACGCTGGGAGGGCTCCCCGATAGAGTTATACCGCCAACGGGAAGGACTGGATGAGGAAATGGTTATGGAACGGCGATGACGACATGGTGAGATAGATGACGACTTGGCAATGGAAACGGAAACAAAATAAAATATGAAATATGAACAGAAAATTGGAGAAGGTAGAAGTTACGGTGCAGGGACTCGGAACCCCAGTACCGGTCGGTGACGGTGGTGCTCGCTCTGGCCCCGCCCGACCGTTAGCCAGTGACAGGGCGATAACTCCCGTGAACAACTAGGCGGGAGTGGAAGAAATAGTGTCTGGAATGATAATAGACGATGAGGGGAACATCAATCCCTTTGAAAGGAGGGACTCCTTACATCGAACGCCTCCGAGAGGCAGACTTCACTCTTGGGCAGGAGATAACTCCATCTTCATTGTCAGTCAGCCGCAGAAGAGAGCGGGGGAGGAAATCCCTCCGAAGGAGAGTCAGAAAGCAGCAAATATGGAACAAGAAAAGCTGATAGGGGAAATGAGAGGTCTGTTGCAAAGGTTGTCACGTTCCGGAAAGGAATTGACTGACATCGTGCCTACAAATACCAAGGCTGAAATAAAAAAGGGAGTCAATGTGATGACCCGAATTGCGTATACGGTGTTGCTAAAGCTACGCGAGTTTGAGGAACTACGTACAGAGCATCTTAACTGTCAGACCTCAGAAGCGTATACGCAGGTCGAAACCACTACAACTAGAGAGACGGGCTGTAGCACCAAGGACGTTGGGAGGCAAGTGTACATCGACTATCAGGCAACCAAAATTAACAAGGAAGTAGAAAATGGGAGCTCCTTCGAAGAATTCGCCACCCTCTTGGACACTGAATGGCCTGAATACGTGTATAAAACCACGGCGTGCGTGGGGCCTAATCCGCTTAAGGCAGGCGACGAGTGGGACGTGGCTCTGGTTATAGATGCTGCTAGCCCGGCAGCAAAAGGAGCGGTCAAGGTAGTCAAGGAACGATATCCAGAAATTTCGGACTTAATCGGTGGTCAAATATTAGAGGGTGGAGTAGAATTCATGGAAATGTCGACCAAAATATCGACGAGCCGTGGAAGGCAGGACAATAAATCGAGATTTATCTTCCTACTGCCTTATAAAGTGAACCCTGACGGAATAAACGATATGCGAGACCTATACCAAGTCTTATGCAACTTGAGGGACCATAAAGCATTATCGCCACAAAATAGTTGTAACTACCCCGGAGGAACTGGATAAAAATTACACTAGAAAACTTCTGGAGTGTGTTTTCAGGAAAAGTGGGATACAGGTGAAGTACGCTGTACAAGGAAAAGTAGCAGCTGAATTAGGCAGGACAAGAACTAAGCCACCAGACCGACAAAAAAGTCGAGCACGTCAGGAAGCAGTGGTGGTTAAAGGGCAAGGGAAAGCTTTTGCGGAATAGGTCAGAACAGTTAAAGAAAACGTTGACATCAAGAAGATTGATGTAAATGTCACGAGCATAAGGAAGCAAGAAAATGGTGACCTAGTCCTTGTGGTGGAAGGAGAAGGTAAGGCAAATGCCTTAAGAGATGAAATAACGTCGAAGGTCAAAGAGGTGGATGCACGCACAAGGAACTCGGACGTCACTCTTTTTGTGTTTGGCATCGACCCTTCGGTAACGACGGCAGAAGTCTCGCAAGCCATTACGACTGACACCGGCATTGAGGGCTCTCGCTTTCGGATAGCCGCACTAAAAGTGGGTAAATTTGGAAACCAGACGGCGACGGTGGTAATGGATAAGATACCAGCGAAGCACCTAATTCAAAAGGGACGTATAGTGACCACCTGGTCCATATGGCCGGTGAAGGAGCGGGTCTCGATCTTGCGCTGTTTCAACTGCCTAGAGTTTGGTCATAGAGCTGAAAGGTGTACTGGAGCAGACAGGAGAGGTGAATGCAGGAACTGTGGCCAGGCAGGACACACACCCACGCAAAGACTGCAAGAACACCTCGTTTTGCACTACCTTCAAGACAGCTGGACATCGAGCAGACCAAATTAGGTGTCCTGGCTTTAGGAAACTGGTGAACCAGGCAAGGATATCAAGCCTGGCGTCCAGAGGATAGAAGGATTAAACAACAGCCACCAAACCCATGGCCTGTATCCTCCAATGTAATTTGAACAGGTCCCAGTTGGCTCAAAATGTGCTTCAACAAGCTACGCAGGAATA